TAGTAGTTTTAGCATGTTATACACTGAGAAAAATGTTTAGTATCATCTACCAAAGTTTGGTTCTCTCTACCAAATTTTTTATTTGATATATGTGCAACTAATCCGTTTGGTTCGGGCTACTAAATTTTTTCGTTGAATCATTTTGTTCGGTCTACCAAATTTTTTGTTTTGCACAACTAACTTATTGTTTTTAAGCAAACAAAAAAATTAGTTAAATGAAAATTTTTTTTTTGTTTTCTCAACCAACTTATTTTTTTGTTTTATCCTTTTCTTTTTATATAACCTACCTATGCCTACTTAAATTAATTTCTATCGCGGAAAAAACCTAACACTGCTGGGGCTCGAACCCTCAGACTACGCAACGCTAGTCGACAACGCTGACCACTACTCTACGAATCCTACTAACAATTTGAGATTAAATCATTTTCACAATGTATAAAAGCTGGAAAAAAACTTTCGTTCTTGTAACAAGTTTTATTTATTTATTTTCACTACACAAACTTTTTTTTTTAAAAAATGTCTGAAAAACATAAAAACTTCAACACTGAAACTTCACGACGCGAACGACATATGGTTAATGTTGACATCCCGTGAATGGGAAGCGACGCCATATTTACGAGAAGAGCGCGTGCGCAATACAGCATGTCAGCTATTTAGTACTGGGAACCAAACTATTTAGTTCGTAAACATGAAAGCTTCAAATATATTTTTTGGTAGAGCCAACTAAACTTCCCGATTTATTGCCACTTTCTATTCTGTTGTGACAACCATATTTTAGTAACGCCAACTAAAAAAGCTCAACTAAATTATTTTCTTATTATTACGAAATTATTTTTCTCAGTGTACTTTGATGCTTCAGGTTGCGAGTTCGATTCCCGAAAGTGTTAGAATTGCCAATACTGGGCCAGTATTGGGCCGTGTTGGTTTTCGCACTTGGGTTACGGGTACAAACATTGATTTTTCAATTTTTTCGACACAGAAAAATGTAGTTGATACTTTCATTTTCTTGTTCTTTTTGATAGTTTTTTTATAACTTATCTTTTTATTTTCCTTCTTCCATATCCTTTTTACTTGTTTTTTCATCTTTTTTTTCTACTGTGATTTTTCTTTATCATCGTTTTAAGTTCTGATTTTTCGAGCAAAACGGTTGTTTTTGGGCTAATTAAAAAACCGGATTTTTCATTTTCTCTCTCCCTCTCTGTATGTAACTGAAAGGTATGCTCTCATTAGCTATCTCATCGTCGTTGGCTTTGGGGCAATGCGTGAATCCGGGATATACGTATCTGTATACGTATTTACTATATTTCTCAGAGAATTATATGCTGTACACGCCTCCAGTTGGCTGGCTACTTGGGTAGGGTGTCGGTGCGATGGTTGGTCTGGTTGGCTGATAGAGGCGCATCCTCCACGGCATCTCTCTTGCATTTTCCTCTCCCGCATTTCGATCCATCCGCGAATAGCACAGTCGCTGCAACCAGTATGTGTCTGTTACAGTATGTACGTGTACATATTTATACCAGTACTGGTAATGGTGTCAGTACTTGTGGTTCTGGTTTTCCGCAGCCTCAGGCTTATACGTTCCTAATGAACCGTGTAATGACGCCGCGACGCCCAACATCCACATATATATATATATATATATATATATATAAATAAATTCTGTACCACTTTTTCAAATTTCATATATGCTTCACTTCACGACTCTTTTTTAAAATTCTTCTTCTTTTTTTTCTTTTAAAAAAATAACCATAATAAAATTTCTACGATTTAAGAAATGTTTCTAATCTTTCAAGTTTTTTTATTTATTAAAAATTAACATAAAATTTATTGAGTTTAAATTTGTATAAAAAAATAAGATTATATATTTAATGTATAAAGTAATCTAACGTTTCTGTCTGGTCCCGCAATATTTTTCAAGAATCCTTTAGAAAAAAATGGAATTCCACAAATTTAATTTAAATATATATACGTCCTTTTTTTATTATAAAAAAGAATCCTTGATAGCGATTAAAGAAACCTATTTTCAAATATGGAGTTTAATTAATATATCTCAATGACTAATGCCAAAAAATATATTAGTAGCACGTACATTTAAACGAAGTTCTTTTTTTCATTTTTGAAAGTGTGATAAATAAGTGAGCATTAGTTAGCATCTAGAGACACGTTTAGGCACGCAGTATAAAAAACCATAGAAGAAAAAGAAGGTACGCACACAATATTATCGTTTCATTTTTTTTTTTGTCGTTTTCTGCGTCTACATTCTCACACCTTGAAAAGACGCGACACACGTTCAAATCTATGATATTATAAGAAAGAAAAAAAATAATAATACCTATAGAAATAAAGAAATTTTTTATACCAATCAAAAATAATTTAATTGAATAAAAAAAAACTATCTATTCTTAGAACTAAATTTATTTGTATCAAATAACAATTTTGTTTATCACAAATAAAATTTTATTTAATATAAATAAAATTTTTTATTTGCCTCAAATAAAATTTATTTATTAAGCTAATAAATATTTATGTTTGTCTGACAATAAGACAAAAGAGAGATAAATTTTTTTTCTCCTTACCATTTGACACGCGCATTGACTAACCCTGGAGTTTAATATTTCGTTAACGAATGATGGTTTATTAACCTCTTTATTCATTAAATATTCATAATTTAATTTTTTTTCCTACAAAATTCCAAATATTCACGCACTTTATTCGATTTTCTATTCTACATATATAAACGTTTATTATTAGATATTCTTTATTTTTTCAACTGACTGATTTGTTAATTCAATAGGCACTAATTGTTATTTTACTATAAGAAATGGTTCATTAACCTTTACTCATTTTATATTCTTATTTTTTTTCATTTTCAAATATTTACGCACTTTATACGATTTCATTAGATTTCTAACTGACTGATTTGTTAATTCAATAAATTTTCTTCTACTTGATTTAACTCTTTAAATTTGACAAAACACTTAAATTAGACAAAATTTGAAAACAGTAAAAAATTAAAAAATTCAATTTTCAATTTTAAATGATATTTTTACTCCTACTGTGATCAAAATAATATTTCAATATAGAGGAAAATTTGTTTCAACTATTTTTAAAAATTTTATAAACGAAAAAACTACAAAGAAACATTGAAACATTGAAAATTAATTACTTTTTGAATATTTTAAGTGATCCGTTTGAGAAATTCTGACTTATACCTTTAATTATATATTATTTAATTAATTATTCAATCAACGTTTTGTTTTACGTTACAATTTTAATTAACGATATCTTCAATTAATATTAACAGCTGCTGTCAATGGGATTTTCATTAACTTATACAATATTTGAATATTATACAATAGTACCTATTTTATATACTAACGCTATTTTAATTAATATTTTTTTTATCGACTATTGTAATTTGAAAAAATAATACCTTTAATAAATTAACATTATTAAATTAAAAAAATATTAATTAGTTAAACAAATTAAAAATATAAATCAATAAAAAAATATATATATATATAATAAACAAGAAATTATAAAAATTAATATAAAATAACTAAATTTTATTTAATAAAAACTTCAACAAAAAATAATTATTTATAGTTTCGATTTAAAAAAAAAGTCTAATTGAATTTTGTACAACTACAATAATTATATTAGTTGTACTTAATTCCAATTTCCTACCCAATTCCTCCTCCCCTTCAAATAAGTTTTGATTTAATGATACTTTTATTGATTAGAAATTTAAATAAGATAAAAAATATCTTGATATTAAATAAGTAGACGATGAAAATATTTCGTAGAAGTTTATAAGAGACATATCAAATTTAAAAGAAGAAGGAGTGAAAAAAGAGAGAGAGAGAGAGAGAAAGAGAGATGGCAAGGAATGATGTCTCTATATAATGCATCACTTACGTATCTTAATATCAACGTTTCTTCTTGCGTTCACGTGAGTCACGCATGACGTCGCATACATCACACTCTCTCTCTCCCCCCTCACCCTTTTTCAATCTTTTCTGATCCCCTCCCTCTCTTTTGATCGCTCTATGATCTTGCGCCTTGCCTCTTGGTCTCGAAGATTTATTTTTTATTTTTTTATTTTTTAGCCTCAAGTTACAGACGTGCTCACATGTCACGTGTGCACGCAGGTACGCATTTGTGCGTGAGAGGTAGGAAGCTCAGGATTAATAGATCAGTTGAAATTATATACACCGGGTATCGTGAGCTTCTTCTATATATACCCCTGATATTCTTATAAATATATTAATTCCCATGGATCAACATAAAAAAAAAACTTTTTCATTGCATGTGTCTAGAATACAATTTTTCTCTCTGAAAAACAATTAATTAGCTATTAAAAGACAATTTAGAAAATAATTTTTCATAACATTAGAGAAACATGATTGAGGGTCGAAGTTATGTATAATGTCGAAATATGTAGGATTATTTTTTTTAAACGGAAGTTTCTCTTGATATATAATTAATTGACATTTGGAGGAGAATTAAACTAATAAATTAAGGATTTGAATTAACTTTTTCTTAAAAAATCTAAATTTTTAAACTTCACTTTTATGTTTAATTAATACAAAAATTAATTTTAAGTTGATAATTTATTTATTGTTTCGTTTATAGTTTCCTTTTTTTCAGTATATATAACTGATTATATTATCTCAGATTATGATTTTAAATTAGAATTGAATTTTTTTCTAATTAAAATAACGAAAATACTCGTTATCGAAAATTAATTTTAAGTTGATAATTTATCTATTGTTTTGATTAATTGTGATTATAATTTTTTTTTCTTTCAGTATATGCACTATATCTATGCGAGGAAATTTTCTCAAATTATGATTTAAAATTAGAATTTAATTTTTTTTTTTCTAATTAAAATAAAACTCGTAAACTTATTAATAAAGAGCTTAGATGAATTCTTAATTAGAAGAAAATTGAGGGAAGAGGACACTGAAAGTCTCAGACGACTGTCGTGTGTGTTACAGGGATTGGAATGGAACGAGCAATGTTCGTGTACAAGAATCCTGGCCAACGTGAGCGTCTTACGATATGGACAAATCTCACCTCTCCAGCCTAAAGGATCACGCCCCTTGATCGTTTCGCGCATCATGGTGAGTTCCCAGGTGAAGATTTTATTTTTATTCTTTAGTTTATTTTTTTCCATCCATTGACTATAATTAATTATTAATATTGTCAACTGCAGAAAACGTTTATAATTGTTTCTTTAACAGCATGCGTGATTGTTATATCACGTGATCGTTTATTATTTTTTCTTTTTCTCTTAAATGACAAAATAAAATGAAAATGAAATTTGTTTTCACACAATTTCTCTTTAAAAACTGGAATTAATATATTTTTAATCGTTTTTTAAAAAAATAGTAGAATTAGAGCAAATTCAAAATTTTCAATACCTATTTTAATCAATTTCTAGACCCTAGGTATTTTAAATCTAAAAGTGGAAAAAAGGAAAATTTACGTTTCTTTTTTTAATAAAAAAAAATTGTTTCATTAAAAAAAACGTTAAATAAATAAAAATGATTTTGTTTTTCTGAAAAACGTTGAAAATTCGTTGCTTTTAAAAATAAAAGAAAAAATTCTATAATGCAGGAAGGGGTTAATTTCTAATAATCCGCACGCTTTAGGGTACAATAAACCGATAGTAATTTTTCGAATGAGTGATGCTTTAAGGAAGCTTTATAATGAAATAAAAGTACTTGCTTATCGACATTTTATGATATTAAATATTTTAAATCTTAAGGATATATAAATGAATGATTTACAGCAACATAAAGTAGCTACATTGCTTCGATATTACGTCGAATTTTAATACAAGCAATAAATACATCAAATGTTGCGTTGCCTCCACTAACTTGTTTTAGTATAGTTATATTCACACTTTCTCGTAAAATGTCAGGTCAACCGATACCAACAAACCGTTAACTTGAAATTGGTCATTAATTTTGGTTGAATCATTAATATTTATCCGACATGTCTCTCTCTCTCTCTCTCTCTCCCTCGACTTACATAATCCAAAATAAAAAAAAAAATAACTTAAATTAACTATTATTAATTCAGCTTGTTCGTTCAAAGTTCTCGAAAATTATTTAAACTTTTCAAAAAATATTTCTAATATAATATATTTATAATTTTAAAGAAGAAAATAATTTTGAATACATTGGGAAAGTAAATTAAACATAAATAAAAAATACATAATAAGTTTCTAAAACTATTAGAACAGAACAAAATTGTTTGTTTATGTTATAACATCTAAAAATCACAATTTTCTTAAAAGTAATATCAATTTGATACCGAATTGGATCAAATTGATACCTACTTTCAAATTACCAATGATTTCAATTATTTGTAACTTTGACAAAAAACATTTTTTGCTCGAATATTTTCAGAAATTTATTTTGATTACAATAGAAGTAAAAAAAAACCCGATTTATCATTGAAAATTAATTGCTTTTTGAAAATTTTATGTGATCAGTTTGAGAAATTCTGACCCTTTTAAAATTATTTAAATTAATTTGATAATTTTAATGCTTTGACTGATATTGGAGACCAAAAAAAAAAAAATCCCCTTTCTCAAACAATGTTGATTTAATTATATAAAATCAGGAAAGAGAGAGTAATTTAAGAAATAAAGATTTCTTTTAATTCAGAGATCATTTTCATTGAAGACACATCCAATTTCCTTAATCGATCCTAAGAGCTGATTTAAGGCTTGTCGAACGAAAAAGAGAAAAGATGATCGAGACTTGCGCCGTGACCGATGGTCGACTCTTAATACCGGATTGAATCGCGGCCGATCGAATGTTTTGCCCCAGTTTCGCCTGAATGCCAATCTGCACGGCGCATTTGTTCCGGGCAAGCAAACTAGGCGATCGACTTTGTCGATAACAAATCGTCAGTCGCTCTTGCGATCGATCGATTCTCTCTCATTGTCGAATGAGGGAAAGAGAGAGAGAGAGAGGGGGGGGGCTTATAACGATCGCCAATGTGTCAAAAGCTCAAAAACAACCAATACAATTTTCCCTTCAAGACACTCTTCTTTTGCTCTCAAACATCACGAACAAGTTTCTCTCTTTTAATTATAACTCATTCTAAATAGGTTTTGCTTTAGAGGGTGAAAAAAAAGCCAAAAACAGATTTAGAAAAAGTGAAGATTAATAATTGACGCAAAAAGAATATGTTACAGTTAAGTAGAAAAATTGTGTTTAGTCAGACATAACCAAATATTGACATTATACTGTAAGAAGAGGTGTCTTATTTTTAATATATTTCATTGTTTTAAATTAAGATGTTTAAAACATTAAATGTTTTCCAACTATTGAAGTCTTTCAAATCACAGTTTGCTTATAAAATTGTTTATAAATATTGTTAAATATTATCTGATGATAAAATTTTATCAAAGATGTTGTTAATTTTATATTCTGTTTATAGTCATTTGTAATAAAGAATATGCTTGCAATTTGTTTTTCCTGTTTATTTTAAATTTCAGACATTTTAGCGGCCATTTTTGCCACTGTTTTAACCTAAAAGTCTCAAATTGCAACGAATTGATCCAAAAATACGGATCAAATCAAAAATTGATCCAAATTTTTAGATCAATTTGATCCACTTCGGGTTCAATTTGATCCTTTCTAGAAAACAGTGTGAGGCCCCATTTTGAATTTTGAAAGAATAAAAATTTTTAATAGTAATAATGCCTAAATGAAAGGAGCTGATTTGAAAGGATTTGATCGCGATATTTTATCATTCCGAATTTTGTTTGAAGAGATTTCATATCAAAAATATAGGGTTTTAATTTAAATTCAGGTTTTTCTTTTTTTTGTTTAAATAATTATAACTTGTTATCCTTAAGTCAAAAGTTAAATTTTCTTGTAGATTCTGTAAGAGGTTTAAAAAGAGAGAGAGATAGACGTTTGAGTTTTTGACAAATGAAGATTCCTATAATTTTGGAACGTGTGAACGTTTTGTAATCCTCGCTCATAAAGAATGTTGCTGGTAACACTTTTTGATGTCAATTAAAAAAAAAAAAATATCAGGTGGGACTTTAGTGAGGGGAGGTGTCGCGATTCGAATTTCTTCGAGAGGGAAAGCCTCACTCGGCGCGTTGATGATGGAATGCGCTCGGTCATCCTCTGCCGTGTACCAACCTTGGAACCGAACCTTCAAGACTTGGAACGCGCAACCCGCTCAACTAAGACAGCTATGAAATCGTCGGTGATTGCTCTTATACCTCGTATCTCACCCCGACTCACTCTCTCATTTCTTCGCACCTCTTTAAGATATCGTCAGCGAATTTACATTCTCACCCCATTCGACATATTCCTTCATCCGTTTCACGCTTCGAGAGAAAGAAATCCCGATGAAATTAAAAAAAAAAAAGAAAAACAGTTCGGTAGAAAAAAGGTTTAAAAAATTAACTTTTCTTAAATTTCAAGAAAAAAAAGAATTTCTTTTTTTGTTTTCAAAAAATGTTTTTTTTTATCCAAATATAAAAGTTTTTTTTAGATATGCCCATATTTCTTTTATACATAATTATATATAAACTGTTTCACACTGCTTCAATTAATTTTCTTCAATCATGATGATAAAAAAAATATAATATTTTCCCACTATAACATTTTATTCTCAAGAAAACAAATCTTTCCGTAATGTTTGCGCGGTGCTATTAGTTACTTTTTTCACAGCTGTTATAATTAAGGCAACAGAATGATTAGTAATCATCCATCCTTGAAATTGTTTCAAGATTTTAATAATGGTTCAAAAGTTTCATCTCGCGAGGTGTGAATTCTTAAATTGACGTTTCTTCAGGCTGAAGCTTATATAGTTTTAGTTATGTAGTATCATTATTATGGTTGAGAGGAAAAAAAAAAGAGAGAGAGAGAGCAATTTTCCTCGGTCGCGGGAGTATCGCTGATTCATGGAAACAACTCCTCCCAAGAAAGCTTCTTGGAGAGGAGATTAAGTCGTCAAAGGTGCGAGACAAGCACCTAAGCCGTAACTTCGGGATGATACAAGACTAATGGGTTATTTCAGGTAATTAGCTCTAAGGTCGATCCTTTGAGTGGATATGGACGCAAAAAGGCTTCAAGCCTTGTCAAGATTTTAACCAGAGGTTCCGATTACCACCTCGTATGTATATATCCACATTATGTATATGTTCTTTTAACATAGTTTCACATCCTTTTGTCTCTTATTTACAAAATAACATTTAATACAAAAGTATATCATAACTGAGAAATATCACTTACATTATTGTTTGACGTTTTTTCTCTTTTTTTTGCCGTTACTGAAACAGAAAAAAAACTTAATGTATCAGTCATTTCACATAAAATAAAAATTCTAAAAAATTGCACACAAATAAAAATTAAAAAATTTTTATAACCACTTCTTTATTTAATAAATAATATTAAATATTAAGGTAAATGTCCCAATTTGTGTCCACTTGCACATTTATGCACGAAATAAAATAAAAAACAATTTAGAAAAATATTCAAAAAAATATTTTTTGAATATTACATTATATATCTTTCGTGTAGATTTGCATTTAGGGTCTTAGTATTCTTTAATAATTATAAATTAAGTTTTGAAAATTTGCACTGCCGCCCTCTCTGCCAAAACGAGGAAAGTATGCCGCCATCTTATAAAGATTGTCATTAGACAGGTTAACAGAATGTTGTTAGCACAGGATAATTAACGTCTAATATTGAATTAAATTGTTAAGTAAATAATTCAAGATAATATAGTTTTACTGTTTGGAGGTTTTTTTTCATGCAAAGGTAAGTTAATTTTTATGTATACCTAAAAATACAAATACGTACACTAAAATGAGAATGATCCTATTTGTGTTTACATACAATAACACAACTTTAATTAAAGAAATTATTACATTTTTCTGAAAAATACTTCATTTATTAATTCTATAACTCTTAATTTTGAAAATTATTGTGAGAGTTTTTATATTTTAACCTAAAATTATTTAAATATGTGAAAAATGTGACAGTGTAAGAACAGCGAGTATTTTTTAAAGACACTAATTAGGACAAAGCATATTTTTATGTTTGTGTACCAAATAGTGAACATCTATTTCCTTTAGTTACTTATTTATTTA